CAGTTTTGTTTTTTTCTCAGCTTGTTTGTCTACCTTATGTACTCCTCTAGTCTGGTGGATGGTTAGCATACTGGAAGCCATTGGTAGCTGTTAATGTTATACAAACAACAAGTATATGTTATATAAATATTAAATCCAGAGCACGTTAGTTGTGCATTAGAAATCATTGCAAACAAACTGAACATAATTGCAAAATGAAGAGTTTAAGGTCTCTTCACTGTCTCAGTGGTGTAAGCCTGCAAGAATACAACTGCTCACACTAATCCTGATCAGTGCTTGCCTGCTGCATGCTGGCTCTGATTTGCTTCAGGTTCTTCAGAGCACTTCTATTTTTGTTTTTTTTGTTTGTGTTGTTTTTTGTTTCCTTGAACTTGTCAGCCTCACCAGACATCAGTGTACATACATTGACTTTCTGTTTCAGTAGAACATGCCTTCTCTTCTGGTTTTCAGTCTCTTGCACAGAGGACTGTAGCCTTTATTTATTTATTTATTTCACTTTTATGCTTCTGTGTTTGGTTGTTGCTGGGATTAGAAAATGGGTCATCCTTGGATGAACTCTTAGGAACTGCCTCTTCCAGAGAGCTTGCTTGCCTGGGAAATTCTTGCAGTGGGAGCCATCTTAAAACCTTCCTGACAGCTACTAGTGACCTTATTTCATAATTACTTGTATTTCTGTCTGGCTCTTCCAAAGTGTGGCTTTTCCATGTTTGAAAAAGCTTTTAAAAGATGTTATAGTTCAAGATTTCAAGTCTCTGGCATCTTTCCAAGTAAAACTTTGATATATTAACAGTTAAACTGAGAAGCCCTGTTCCATGGTCTGTCTCACAATAGCACTGATAAGTGGGGCAGACATGCCTGGCATTCAGCCCAGGGGCTTTAGCCTCCAGGAGCCCCTCCTGGGTGGGTTTGCAGCTAATAGCTATGCTGGCAGTACAGCCTCTCTAGTGGGAGGAGATTCTTCTCCTCCTCTTTCTCCTTTCATAGTTAAATAAGTATACTGATAAAAGTTTGCATTTTGTTCTCTTTTTAAGGATATGGTTTGTATTTCCATCTTAGCAGAAGGATTTCTCTGAAACTGGATCTGAAATACGAAAGCCAAATGATAGATATTCTCTTACAAAAATTTTATTGTAAACATGTTTATTGTTTGGGTGCATTTTGACTGTGTCCTGTGCTTGTGACTAAAACAAAAATCCTCTTCACAAGATTTATTAGAGAGTTTTTAATTTATTTCTTAGGAGTTCCTGTAATCCTGTTCTTTTTCCGGTCTTGGCTTTTATGGAATGCTTTTTTCTGGTCACAGATATGATAGTAAATGTATGGCTGCTGGGCACTTTCATCTCTTTCTGGTCTTGTTGAGGTTGCATCCAGCCTGTGCTCCAGTCTGTGTTTTTATGATACACCATCATTGACAGAAGTGGTTTGGCACTGTAAATCATCTTCTTAAGGCTGTCTCCTCACCAGTGTTGAGGAAAGAAAGAGTTGCTTGTACTTCAGGACTTCTGATCACTTTATTGCCTTTTGTTTCAATTGCAGTAACATCAAGAAAATGGTTTTCTAAGCAGCTGAGAGATGTAGCCATTCCCTAATGCAGAATAGTTTTGGGAAGGTCTGTATGCCCTCAGGGTTGTTGTACTATTGTACAATTGTGAGACTTAGCTTTGGGACCACACAGACCACCATTAGAAGTTGGAGTGAATGTGCAAAGCTGCAGTGCTTGCAAGTTGTGACTGGGAATGCATGATCTTGGCTTTTAATGTGCCGCACTTGCGTGTTGCGGAGTCCCATAGGGAAGCTGAGGGGCTACTTTTAATCTTTAAACGGTTTGGGTCATGGTCTCCTGAGATGAGTAGGGGGCAAGGACCTGGGGGCTGTTGATTGGCAGAGAATTCTCTGACGAGCTGCTGATACAACTACAGTTCCTGTCACAGTCTGCACTTGCTTGGCTTTTCCACTGCCTGCAACACCTACAACCCTGCTTTTTTTATTTCAGGTTGAGTGGGTTGAAGACAGTGTGGTTGTGAGCAGTTGCTGTCTGTGTTCCTGCAGTGATTTGCAATTAAAAAGTACAGGAAAGATGCCTCTAGATGTATTTTATAAAAATAAGAGAAATAAATTATTGCCAACATAAGTGAGAAAAGGTCACCAAAAACTTTATTAAATGACTCAGAATCCATTGGGTGCTTCTGAGGGCAGTGTGAGTTAGAATCTGAAGGGAGTTAATGCTGAATTTTGACAAAACATAAAGAGAAACAGTAGATTAAATCTGTCCCCTCATATTATCTTCTACAAGCTCCAGGTCCGGCACGCTTAACACAGGGGAAGTAAGCCCTTCTGAGTGGCTAGTAAGTATATGATATATAATTGTAGGTACCCAAGGGCACTCCAGAGACTGATCATAGACCAACTGTAATTCTTAGTCTCCTGACCTGTTATAGCCTGCTTTGGGGATTACTGTATTGCTGGCTTGTGTCTTTTGTGATGCTTTAAGGAATGTGAATTTGTGCCTAATTTTTAAGAGTGCTCTTTTTACAAATTAGATGGCTTCTCACCCTTTTAGCAGAAACCAAAGGGGAAGTCAAATGTTGAGATTTGGGTTGTATTGTTTTTATAGGTTGTGTTTACATATAAACAGATTATGTTATTTCTCTCTTGCTAGGAGGTTATATGTTACATGTTACTGTAACAGGCAGTCTGAAGCAAAATAGCCAAAACCAGAATTAAGAGGAAGAAAGCAATTTATACTTAAGTAGCATCAATACTTTGATTAGGAAGCATCTTAAGCCAGAGTATAAGGTTGCAGACTTTCAGATTTAGAGTTCTACTGAATTGCTAAGATCATTCATCATGCTAGAATTATTAAGATCTGCTCACATGTTTTATTAACCTCTAGAATAGTTGCTGAATAATGTCTCTTTCTAGCTATGCTATTAAATGTTAAGAACTAGATCATTACTTGTCTTGGAATGCAGGCAATTTTATGGTCCTAAAGGCAGATAATAGACTTTAAAGTTTGATCATTAGTTGGGTAGCCTTCATCAATTCTTCCCTTCATTTCTTTTCTATACATTCTGAAAGTATGTAAACTTAAAGAATTTTATTTTAAAAAGCCTAATTTTTCAGGGTTGTCAGGGGATTCAGACATCTGCAGTACGTAGGAAAACAGTAGCCTTAATGTGGTAAGCAAAGAACAGTTATTTTTATATTAGTCTGTGCTCCACTGCCTTTTGTCTGGCTCTTCCTGCAGCTTCCATTTTGTGGCAGTTGCTTGAAGAAATACATTCAAGTGGCAGATTTTCACATGGAACAAAACCAAAGCATATCTTAGTAGTTCCATTTTGTAGGTGTGATTTATATGTCTACAGTTTTAATTCTTGAGCTTGTTTGTACTTTGCAAGTACATGAAAAAGGATGCATTGAATCAAGGAGTAAAATGTTAGTGCTTTTGCCTGTTTGGATACATTCCAGTAGACTTTGGTTAAGAAAAAAAGTCTAGAAGCAGCAGCATCTCTTACAACTTGGTTCAAGTTTGTATTCATTCAATTGGGAGTAAGGTCATGGAAACCTTACTGGGAATCAGGCATATGGAACAGCTTGATTTTTCTTTCCCAGTCTATGTAAATCACAGATAAATCACAGAATTGTCATGGTTGGAATCACCTCTGAGGTCACCAAAGACAACAACCAGCACAAAAGAAAAACAACAACAAAACCAAAACCCAAAAAAACCCCACCAAAACCCAAACAGAGACAACCAGGCACACTCCACCAAAAAACACCCACAAAAAGCCCCACAACATCAGGCACTAGAGCATGCCCTGAAGAGTCACATCTACACGTTTCTTGAACACCTCCAAGGATGATGACTCAATCACCTCCCTGGGTAGACTGTTCCAGTGCCTCTTTCGGGATATAAATTCTTCCTGATATACAATCTGAACCTCCCCCGCTGCAACTTTAGGCCATTTCCTCTGGTCCTACAGTTATTTACGTGGGCTTTACTGTCAAGGCCCTGGACTTAACACAGGGCTGATGGGAATGGAATGGAATGGGTTAGGCAGTGGGTCAAACTGCAGATTTATACCTGAAGGTATCTAAAAACATGACCCTCACTTATGTTCCAGAGTGAGTCTTTGTGTGTTGGCAGCCTTGTGAAAGTACAACTGGTTCATGAGACGCCTTCTGTCAGCTGCAGCAGAGTCTGCCACGTGCCCACAGCTTGGCAGTACTTAGGGTGAAAATGTAGAAAGGGAGGACATCAGGTGAAATTCAGGAAGGACAAGAACTACTGGCCTGGAAACAGGTTAAATCCTTCTTGCAAGCTACAAACACATACACCAAAGAATTCTTTAGGGAAGAACTGTGTAAGGAAAAACCCTGAAACAGAAATATTCAGAGAACAGATGATAAGCAGAGATGTCACTCAGTGGCTTTGCATTCCTTGTGCTGGTTCCAGGATCCCTGCCAGATTCCACATGTTCAAAACTCCAGCTTTCGGCTAGTGCTTATCACCGTCTCTCATAGCAAAACTGAACAGTTGAAATGCTTTGCCTTGGAAGTGGGTGTTTTGCTTTCAGAAGTAAAGGTCTTTGTGTCCTTTTTTTTTTTTTTTTTTTTTTTTTAATTGTGAAGGAATAGAACTGTGTGAAAGGTACTCTGTGTGCATTGCTTCAGCAGTGACATATGACACCCCACAGAGACTGATTTTACCACCCTATTTCCTTCATGGTATTGATGTATTCATAGTAAAAATCAGATTCCATGTCTTGGATTTTCTAAAACTGAAATCATAGCCACATGTAATGCAGGATTTAATTGTCATGGAGTTCCATATCCTTTCATCTTGTTGCTTCCTCAAAGTTGCTGGATTGACTATTCAGATAGTATTCTTTCTGTCCTGATTTGAAGTACTTGGTAGTTGCTGTCTTTATTAAACATGAAACAAAACCAAACAACAACCTTGAAGACCTGACTCTCTGATCTTTCTCTTTCTTTCCCAGAAGTACACTGCTATTGGACTACTGGGCAAAGCTACAGATACATTAGATGCTACAGGAAAAGTAACTGAAGAAAAACCTTATGGTAAGCATAAATGTGTCTATATACTTAATGTAATTTGAAGGCATAAATGGTCTTTATCATAAAAAAGAGGAAAAGATGTTTGGGATGCTGTCAATTAAATTTAAATGTGAAATCCAACTTAAGATGATTTCATCTTCAACTTCAGTGCTCATGTAATTCAGACCAGATTAATGTGATTATGTCCAGTGCAAGTGTTCATTTCTTTTGGGAAAAAAAACCAAACAAACCAGGCATTAGATTAGGAGGAAGAAAATAGAATTGGGTAGGACTGTGTCATTTTAAATTTTTGACAGGCTGACAAATGGCTTGCTGTGTCCAGTAAAATTTTTCTCTTTCATTATATAGTCCCATGAGTGCTCTTTTAGTAACACCCTTCAAGGCCAGCAGAGGAATAATGTACTTAGATCTTCCCTCTGAGATGCCTCTGAGTACAGATGCTCAGCATTAAAGAAGGATGGCTTAAACTACTCTCTGTATATGTTCACCTGCCAATTATTGCTTTTGCTTGCAGTCTGTGGACTCAAAACTATAGCAAATGAGCTTTTCTGACCCACAGAGCACAGTGCAAGAGTTTAAGTCTTCAGAATTAATTCTGAGTGTGACTTTATTGGAGTGGGACATTTCACACTACCCAGGGCATCTTAGAAACAATGTAGGACTAACCAGAGACAGTCCAAATGTGTCTTCACATTTGGAGTTCTTTCACAAGGTTCTTTCACAACCTGGGGAAAAAAGAAAAAACAAACCAATAGGTAACTGGTTGTTTAGCAACTCTTACATGTTCTCACACTGTTTTTGCTACCTGGTAATGGGCATATGAAGTAAATGATCTTTTTTTTGATAGCATGGTAGTCTGGATTCCACCCCTCAACCCATGTCTCCTTTCTTTTGCTGTTTTTCTTTTTGCAAAGGCAGGCAAGTGAGAGTTTCCTGTCCAGTTTAACTTGATGGACCATTCTGAATAGCGTTTGCTAGGTCATGTTATTCAGAGATGTTGCATTATTTGCTCTCCTTCAGGATCAAGTTCTAAGTCGCTCTCTGAGCTTCTGAAGGAATGAGCATCCACATGGTGTTAGAGTTGCCAGCACTTCAAGATGGTTGGAAAACACTTAATTAGTTTTTATGTATCTCTCCCAAAAAGTGGAATTCTGTGGTTCTGCTGTGCTGAGTAGTATTGATGGTAGATACTTGCATATATATTAACTGTGAAATAGCAGTTCAAGTAGATGCAACTCCTGTGGTAGTATCATTTTTAAAAAATAGTTAATGTCTCTCTTGAAAGACTAGTCCTGCTTTTTAATTTTGTCTTGCTTACTGCAGGCAGAATTGAGAGTGTTGTTTTCATGGGTGTTTATTTCACTGGCAGCTCGTGGTTAGAAGTACCCATCTCTGCACCACCTCCTCTGTTATGGTAGTTTAGGGGTTTCTTAGATGGTGTACTTAGAAAACTGATTTGGATTTAAAATGTCCTTTTTTTTTAGTTGTTGATCTTAAACTGAGATGAGTTGCATGATGCAGTTCATTATGGAGTCTCAGGGAGAGCAGTATTGGCATTTCTGAGGCAGCGGAGTTGTGGGTACTGGACAGTTGCCTTTTGCTGAAGCTCACAACTGAAAGAAATCTTTGTGAAATTGGTCTCAGTTGCTTTCCATGTTGGTGCAAATCAGTCAGACTTGAATTCTTGAGAAAGAAGAAAAAGACAACATGCATACTCCTCCTTTTTCTCCATGCGATCTGCATATTTGGTATTTCCGTCCTTTCGTCTTCTAATAAACCAGGTATTTCTCATCTTTTCCAGTGTCTTCTCCAAAGCAGCTTGGTTTCTGGTATGATTCTCTGGGTGGCCCACCATCCCTAATCCCAACTAATACTCCAAGAACAGGCAAACCAGATATTTGAGCTGAATTTCAGCTTTCCTTTTGACACCTAGAAGAAATCTGGTGAAGCAGAGCATCTGTTAGGGAATATAAATCCTGCAGGGCCAGCAGCATCCAGGATTGGCCTTGGTGCTGAGAAAGGCCACTAGCACAGTTTGCAAGAGATATAAAACTCCTCTTGAATGACTGCTGGACCACAAGAGGAAAATGCCTGCAGAAAGTTGCCAGCTATAAGGCACTTCAAGAAAATGTTGCATTTTGGTCCTCAAAGTGTCCCCAGACAGCCATTTAGGAAGCAAACTTTTTTTTATTGCAGTCAGTTGCAATGAGAGGATGTACTGAAGAGACCTCCTTGGGTTTAACATGTCCTGAACTTCTCATTGTTTTTTTGTTTGTTTCTTAGCAAACAAACATTTCCACATGAAATTAGATTTTGCTTTCATACTGCTCCCAGGCTATCAGATACTGAGTTTGGATGCAAGTAGTGTTTTGCATTCCTCTGGTGCCTTCTTGAAATTTAATGTTTGTTGCCCTTTTAAAATTTTATAACTATGCACAGGAATGTACATTCTGAAACCTACTTCCTCCCAGCTGCATGCAGACTATATCCAGACATGGAGAGCAAAATTAATGAGGATTATTTGCAGGCCTGTGCTGATTTTGCTGAAATAAGTGTTTAATAGGGCAACCTGAATAATTTGAAAAAAAGTAATCCTTCCAGCATTCTGTGTGTTTGCTAGGAAATAATTTGTGCTGAGCCAGACTGAGTCAGGGTCATCTAATATAGTTCTGTTGAGCTGTGACAGATAATTCTTCTGTTCTGTTTTGGTGTAGTTTGTTAACAACCACAGGGCTGTGTCACCGGTCAGTGAAGGCTTCTTGAGGTTGTGGCACAATTGGCACCTTTTGGTTTGGTGACTACCTTATGAGTATAGCAGGGAAATCAATCAACAGTGTTCAGAAGCACAACTGTTCTTCAATATTTTCATCTTGGAAGCTAGTAGGCTTATGTTCAAGGTTTTTAGAAGCATTGGAGAACTGAAGTTTTGGGTGCTCTGAGATGCTGATAGAATCGTAAGAAATAGTCCACTGGAAGATGCATAATGTTTGCAGAGATCACACAACAGCAGTAGTGGTCTTAGGAAGAAATTCAGAAAATGGTGTTGAATTCTAACTAGTCCACATACAGAACAGGCATAATAATTTTGTCCTAAGACAAAATTCTTAGAACTGTTAAAATAAAAATAAAAGGAAAAAAAAATAAAATTCTGTTATTCCTGGGAACTGGATGCAATTACCCCATGGGCCAAACCTTCACAATCTTCTCTGAAATAATTGTAAAGCAGGGTGGCAGCTTCTGCACCTCTTCCTGGAAGGACACAGAGCTGCAGTTTAAGTCCAACTTCTAGCAAAAACTGCATGGTGTAGTTGATGAGGATATTTGGTATTTGCAATGCGGATTTTTGGAGGAATAGACAAACTCTTGGTAGCAAGGGGAGTGACAGATGTGTCCTGCAGAAATATGTCTCAACCCCATACTTTCAGGGAGTGGAGAAGGGAGGTCAAATAGGGAAAGTTTAGGGACTGTTGACACTGATTAGCCTTTATGGGTGCGTTCCTATTTCATGCGGAGGATGGAGGGCTGAGTCTAAATGCAGCCCTAAACTTTCTGACTAGACAAGCTATTATCCTACTAAACCCAAGCCCACAGCTGGGTGAGAGAGACCTGTGGGCCAATGGCCTGAAGGGATACAGTTCTCCTGGGCAGCAGGAGAACCTCTGTTGTGGAAGTAATTACTGTGGGAGCTGAAAAGCGGTGAAGGAGCTGGTTGAGAGAGCCCTGCAGAGTCACAGGTCCAAGCCAATGCCTGGGACAAATACACACAGTTCAGTCATAGTGAAACTGTTTGGGACAAGACTAATAGAGCATTCTTTGTGACCGAGAGCTGGCTGAAAGCTCCACCAGCTTGTGTGTTGTTCTAGGAGACGGCAAGAATCTAATACAGTCTATTAACACAAAGGCAGGGCATGCTGGAAGAAAGATACAGAAAAGCACATGAGTTTGTTTTCAGAATGTAATACTAGCCAGCTTGTGCCACAGTGTATTGCAGAAGACAAATATGATTGTTTTCAATCTTAGTAAACTCACCTGTAAATATTTACTTTTACAACAAACCACACAACTTGGTTAATGACTTAATACATAGTTCCTTGCATGAGGAATTATGTTTTTCCTGAAATAGAGATTGCCTATAGCATGAGGGATTTCCTTAGAAGCTGTGTGCAACTTGTCAAATGAAGGATTGTGAGATCAGAGTGGGAACTGAACTTCAGTGTTTCATTAAATGCCCTAGCCACAAATTCAGGTGAAAATGGGAAGAGACCCCCAAGTGACACTTATACTGAGATCTTAAGCACTGAATTCTAGCCTTAAGAGACCAGAGATTCACAAGAATGCTGCCAGGATCACTGGCATAGAGCTGGGTCATGCCAACTTTCCACCATGTAGTTTTGTTGTGATATGTTGCTAAATTGCCTTGCAACCTTGCTGTTAATGTCACTTCTTGAGACAGCTTCTACTCTTGAGGCTGCCAAGTGTGGTCTTCTAAAGCTGCTGTGGAAAGAAACCTCTTCTCTTTTACTTACAGCATGAAGTACGTTTGTTTTGTAAGGTTTTCAAGTAGAGGTCTGTTCCAAAACATAATGAAGGCTCAATAAACACATTTTGTTGGTTTATGTTCCACGATGCTGTTGACTTAGAGTGGCACTAATTGAATATAACTTTAAGAGAAACAGGACTAGTCAAGTCCTAGACAGTAGAAGTGCACTGAAGTGTGTTATGATTACAGATATTATGTTCGTTCTCTCTAAATAAATTAAGGATGAGTGTCATCGCTATTGAATTTCAAAGGACCAGTGCAATCAGCTACTTAGGTTATAGCCTTCTAGTAAAAGTGGTACAAATGTGTATGTGTACTCTTAAAAGAGATTAGATTGCCTAAAGCAGCTATCTTTCTTTTGCAGGATTTCTCCTCTAAAATTGCCTTACTTAATATATAACAATACCCTGGTGTGCATTTGCAGGTTAGTTGTTTGATATGGAAATTTAGTGTGTTGTTCCATTTGCAGTCTTTTTCTTCACTAGAAAAAAACTCACAGTCCTCTAATGTTTTAATTTTGCCTGCAGTAAGGTGTGCACGTAAAGAGAAGATGCCAAAGTTGGATGAGCATTTTATTCTCTTTGGTCCTTTAACAGAAATTAAAATAGGACTAAATTTGTAGTTTTTGCAGTTTTGCATCCCAAGAAAAATGAATTTACAGTCCTAAGAGAGAGAAATTGCAAAATACGACTGTATATTGGGATTTCTGCCCTTCTGAAAGCGTCCAGACTGTCTTAATCACCTTGGACAGTTTGTTCCACTCTTTTGGTGATAATTCACACTCCTACCCACATTCTGTTTTTTATCTCTCTTCTTTGATGTTTTTCACCCAATCTAAATTCAGATGAGAGGGAACTCTTCTTTGTATTTGTTGCAGAATATGATTGCTACCATTAATGAATGCCATGTGAATAATGAATGCTAACATGCTGTTTTCTTTCTACAGACCAGATAACAAAAGGAGATCTTGAAAATGTGCTGCAGAAGTTTACAGGGGAGATAATGCAGGTTCCTCCGCTGTAAGTTCCGCAATGTTCAGACACTCTTGGCAGTTGTGTTCGGCTGATGGGACTTGCCAACAGAAGTAATTTCTCTCAGAAATAAAAACCCCCACATTTTGGCAAGAGGATAGAGGCAAGGCAGTCCTAGGAGTTTAACATTTGCAACTGCAGGTTATATGCATTTGAACATAGAGCACAGAAAACAGTGACCTTGCGTTTGTGGGTCTTTTGGGTAAATGAAGTAGCAAAGCAGTCGTAAACAGCTTTGCAGGGCTTGGTGACTTCTATCCTGTCTTCCAATTAGAAAGCAAAGCTCCAAGTCTTTAACTTTAGTTGTGTGTTATGGGGAGGCTTACTGACATCTGTCTGGAAGTGCCTTAAATGGCTTCAAATTAGTTTTCTGAAAACCTAAGCGTGTGAATGAGTGATCAGTGACAGAGCTTCTGTAGCTTAGCAGATTTCTTCTAGTCAGGTGAGACACAGTAGCTGGCAATGTGCAAGCACTTAGCTAGTGACAGATGGCTTTTATGGTGATTTAAGCTAACATGCTTTCCTTTGCATTTACATTTCCAATGGGTTGGTTACTGTGGTTCCAAGTGAGCCCTGTAAGGTCAGTAATTCAGTTGGTGTTCTGCTTCATGTGACTTGTTTCAAATTATCCTCTGCTAATTTGAGCAAATTTATTTTATTTTTTTTTCTCTGGTCATCTTTCTGTCAAGATAAAAGTTGGGTTTTTAGATAAAATTTCATTAAATCTGTGAAATTAAAGGTTTTTTTTGTTCTATAGTAGTTCCCTAACCACCCTAGAACAAGGCTCATAACCTGGCAGTTGCTGTTCAGGGAAGACCTTGTTGTGAGACCAGTAAAGGTGCAAAGTGGGATTACAGCAATTGCCTGAGGAGCTCCCAGTTCTCAGCCCAAGGTGACAGGGACCTAGAGTGTGCTCTGCAGACTGCCAAGGGATGAGAGGCTGGCAGCAGCTGCGAGTGTTGTCCTCCTTGTAAAAACCCTTTGTTTTAATAAACTACAAATTGAGGGATGAAACATTTTGATCTGTACAGCAAGAGAGAAATACAGGATCATCTCTTGATTTCCAATTTATAGTGCTATTGCTGAATGAGATGAGATTTCAGAAGCTGATTTTTGGCATTTTTTTTGTGAGTGCTTGGAGAGGATTAGAAGGGTAAAATGAACACAACTGTAGTACAGTATTAACAAGATCTGCAGGGTGGGAAACGTTCTAATACAACCATATGACACACATTTTCATGCTTTATCTGATCAGCTATTCTGCTTTGAAGAAGGATGGAGAAAGGCTATCAACTCTGATGAAGAGAGGAGAAGCAGTTGAAGCAAAGCCTGCTCGGCCAGTAAGAGTATACAGCCTCTCTCTCCAGCAGTTCCAGCCCCCACTGTTCACACTGGGTAAAGGCCAAAGATTATTTCTTAGAGTGATGCTCGCAGCTTGTTAGTCCTTATTTATACTCCAAATGGGAATAAGATAGTGAAATGGGTTTCATTTTGGTTAGCTACTTATTTTGATGTGAGCCCATGTGCAGAGACTTTCACTTTGCAGTAAGAGCACTGTATTTTCATTTTCAGTTAAGCTGATTACATGTAATCTTTCTGTGAGGGAAAATTCTGAGTGGCTGGTCAGGGGATTATTTGCATCTGTCCATGATTTTGCAACCTCCAGCTCACTCCTCCTTCCTCAGGTTTGCTTACTCCACTTCATCTATTCTTTTAGCTAGATGCCCAGATCTGCTGGCATCTCTCCCAGGATGCAGCAAGGACCAGTGTCAGTTACTGTCAGGTCTCTTTCTCAGTTGGGGAGGCAGGATCTTATCCTTCATTCTGTTATACATGAGGAAACTTGGGTTCTACATTAAGAAGCACCAAACCAAAAAGCCGGTTGTAAATGTTTGATGCTACTGTGAGGTCAAGATAATGTCTTGCATTAATCAGCTTCGTAGCTGACCCGTAGTCTTCTGATGGGCCAGAAGGTATATGATCAGCAGGTACAAGGGACAGAACTCAGTGCTGTGTTACTTCAGCCCTTCCTTTAGGGTTGGGTGACTAGCAGCTGATCACTGGCACAGGGGAAAGGGAAGGGCTGAGAGAGCAGGGAAAGATAAAGGTGAAGTTTACATTTTTATTGGAGCTGCCTGTGTGCAGTATCTTAAAAGCATTGATAGTCAGTTTAGACTATACTTGAAATACCTTTTAGTCATTAGAAATATGGAACAGCCTTCTGAAACCTTTAAAATTAGTAGGAATTAAGCATTTGTTAACGTACCAAGGAAGTACTTAGTTCCTAGTGAGTTAGTTCAGTTGCCATTGTATTTGCTTTCCCTGCTGTCTGGCCTAGCAATCTCGCCCGCACATATGTTACAGGATGAATAATTGATGTTGCATCCTATAAATATTTTATCACTGGGTTGTTTGCTTAGCACATTTTTACGTTGATGTGGGGGCATGGTTTCTATGTAGAGTTGCACTTCTGTGTAAAATTACACTGCTAATTTACCATGTCACTGTTAACATTCCAGATGTTGAGTGTGGTGGTGGCTTTTATGTCAGGAGCCTGGTCAGTGACATTGGCAAAGGTAGGCATGAAAAAACAACATGACAGCTTAAGGAATGAATGTGTCTGTCTATGCAAAAAATTTGTCATTTTATAAATCCCCAGTAGCTAGACTTCTGCGTTATTGTGCAGAATTGCAGTGCTATCACTTGTTTTTATATACGAAGGTATTTTTCTTGGGAGGATGGGTGAATAAAGGCTAAATAATTGCCAAGGGACCTTGGAAGCTGGGGGATAAAAATGGTGCAAGTAATAGCACTGAGCAAGATAATACAAGGCAAGGTGGAGATCTTTTTTTTCTCCTCCATGTGTTAAAGCAAACTCAGATTAAGGATAAGAGGAAAAAGATTATTAATCACATTTTTAAAACAGATTGCACAGAATGTTACCATGCACATAATAAACCCTTATCTGTTGGAATGACTTTTACATTTGTGATTATTTTTTCACTGCTTTCTTTCTCCTTTACCTGAACTGTGAATGGTTTTACTTTCCCACAGGGTTATTTGTCTTGTGCTCTATATCTATCAAACTGCATGATGGAGAACAGATAATCCATTTCAAATTTTTTTTTTAAATTATACATTTGCAGATCAAGAAAGCAAGTGATGTGGGATAACCCTGTGAATTTCAATGTTATTTGTGCTTAGGCAAGTCAAATATTCTCTGTTACTGCCTTCTGAGCATACTGGCTTGTGTTTAGTCCTTTAATGACAAACCAAGGTAAAGTCTGTCCTTGGCTGATTTCTTTTCAAAAATTTAAAATGCAGTAAAACTCCTTCTGCATCAGAAAGGATGGGAGAGATTTTGATACACCTGGTACACCTTTTGATACACAAGTCAGCTCTGGTTGCTGTTACGTTTTATAGCCCCTCATGTAGTTCTGTCCTACTGATATTTATTTAACATATCAGAGCATTTGCTTATTTTTTTCAATTTTTTTTAATCTCAGTTTATATTTTTCTGATAGGCAGAACAGGAAAAAAATGTCAAAAATCCTTCTTGAGGTTGAAGTACTAAGACTTAAGTCACTTGTGAATACAGAATGTTCTGTTTACATCCTATGTCATTATTTCCTCTCTTTAAATCTGGAAAACCTTTTGACAGCTGTCAGATTTTGAACTCTTTAACATGCTGGAAATCTACTGAAATCAAAGGAATTCTTTGGCTAAAATTTAAGAAGATATAAATGGGTGGTAAATTTTCATGATCTCCCTTCTCAAACAAAGCAGAATCATGTAGAAGTCTACACCCTAAAATGCATTTTAAGTGAGTTGCAAATAGTTAAACTTGAGCATGCACTTTTTCCTAAGTCCTCTTTTCTCCTTTACTGTAGAACTCTCTACCTGTGCCACTATGCAAGAACTGACCCGAACCAAACAGGGGCCATTTACTCTTGAGGAGCATGCCCTGTATGAAGACAAATGGACAATTGATGAAATTGCACGATCCTTGGAGCGTTGCATGTCTCTTCTCCCAGGAGAGCCATCTCATAAAAAATTGAAGACAGAGCATCCTGGTGAAACTGCTGTGAGCTGTGAAGATAAGTGATAAGTTGGGTCAAGGAAAAAGACTGAATGATTGAGACGTTTTAAGATTGGATTGGGATTGTCTTGCCTCCTGTGTAAATTTCCAAGTCTGCACTGGGAGAGTGACAAACTACAGTGCAAGAGAAATGGTTCTTTTGTTTTCTGGGGCTAGAATATGCATTGAAAATATCCAGTGCTTGCTATTTCTTGATCTTTTTTTTTTTTCTTGCACACTGTAAACGGGTCTGCCACTGATGTAAAATCTTCATAAACTTTTAAATAACTTGTGAGATGCAATATAGCTGTTATTGCTAATTTCTCAATTAAAAATGCTAAACATGAATATTTGATGAATGTGCTAAAAAAATAGTGTTTTTTTTTTTATAGCTGGTAACCAAACTGTGAAATACTATGGTGACAAGCTTGAAGGCTGCAAGAATATGGTGTGACAGTTTGCTTTCTTATAATCCATTTCAGGAAATGTTCATTTTACTATAGTTTTTCCTCTGCAGATTGTTCTTTCAGTCAAATGTTATCCAAGCATTAAATATAGATGCTCGTATTTTACATTAAGTCTGAAAAAACAGTGTAAGTGAATAGTTTTAAGTATAAACAATCCCTGGAAATAACTGTTTAACAGCAAATGCTCTGAAAAGTGCAGTTGTCACTGCAGGTGTATGTATCTTATTCAAATACAATGTTGGTAGGGTTGATGACCATCCCTAATGTAGAGTCAACTGTTCTGCCTTTCTTAGGGCTTATGGAATTTACTTTTGCCATCTGTGTATTGCTTGAATAGTCTCCCATGGATTGGGTGGAAGGCTGATGTGCTTCTGGGCTTTGATTTGGTCCTGCTTAGAAGTTGTGTGGGCATCAGAGGGGTCCACCATCAAGGATCCTTGCTGAAACCATTTTAATTCACAGGGGTAGTGGGGATCTGTTCTGCAGAACATGTAGTCAGCAGAATTTGATTACATTGATTATTTCTCACCACTGCTTCCCTTAGGATTTTCAAAATTACTAAAAGTGTGCTAAAAATCACCCTAGTTTGTTTCTCTGTGTGATGAACTGTCCTAAGAGGACTTCCCTGTGTGTCCCCATACAAGTTTGTAGCAGCTCTTTTTTTCCTCTTGTCACAATGAGGACCATGAGGTAGTGGTCACTCACATGTAGTTAAACATATGAGTGATACCTGAGAGAAAGCCCTGCTTTTGAAATTGTCAGTGAAATGCCTCCAAAGAGGAATGGACTCGCTGCTGTTAAGTGTTGTGCTGCTGGTGGCAGGTGGCCTGCTGTGGCTTTGTACAACTGCTGCACCTTTGGGCTTTGCTTCTGAAATACAGGGACTTGTACTCCGACTGAATGCTATAATGTCAAGAGTTTGTGCTTGCATTATTATGTCTCTGTAAAAGTTACACTCTTAATTTTATTTATTGCTCTGTGTTAATGGACTTACTGCTTTCCATAGTAAGTTACCATGGTAGCTAATTACCTCTGTTGCTTAAAAGAAAATGTTTTATTCTTAACTTCACTTGAATCTCCTACTGCTTTATTTTATTTCTATATCTGCACCTTACAAAAAGGTATTATGTGAATTGATCCAGTTTCAACCTTTCAATCCAAGAAATATCCTGAAGTTTCTCATTGCAGGATACCTTTCCAGACATCTATAGGGGTTTTTGTGTTCTATGCAATAAGAAACTGAAGTCTATGCAAGATTAATGAAGCTTTTATTTAGAGGGAGGATTGAGTTTGTTTTGTTGTTCAGTAAATGGACAGTTTTCTTCATTTGTATATTGATAGAAAAAAGTTACAGGAAATGCTGAAAATATCACAAGCAAATAGAAATGTTAGAGCACTGTAGCAACAGCGTTTTTAATGTGTGATGTGGGTCAAGTAACCACTGTAAATTTTTTTTGAGATAGATTGGTGTTCAGTAGGAGAACAGTGGGAGATTTAAGGTTGTTTTGTTTGCAGTTTCTTTGGAGTGGTTTTTTTGGTTCTTTGGAAACAGAGAAGAAAGAGAGTATTTCCTAAAGAAATCAAATAAAGCAGAAAATGTCATTTTCCAGTGTACTTATCTTGAATGATCAAAGACTTTGAAACACAGCTTCTCTCATTGTCTAAATCTGTATTTCTCCAAGAACCTAATTTATGTTATCCCAGTAGTCTCCTAGATTAAGTTCTCCTTTTATTTATCTTTCTACTTTTTTAAAAATAGCCCAGTAGATATAATTCTATTAGTCTTCTTGTTTCATCTACAGGGATTTATTTCTTTAAAACCCACTGCAACTGAGAAATCTTTCTATTAACAGGGTACATTTATATACAGTGTTATAAATGTCTAGCACATTTTTTTATCTCATCTGTGTGTTTAATGCTCACCATAGCTTTCTTGCTATCCCATGTAAGACCCCCTGATATCTTTAATTTCAAAAGACAATTATGTTTTCATCAGCTTTTAGGTAAGCTTGCAGCTGGTCTGTTGTAATTATTGCTAGCAGGTCTGTGATCCTGAGAAGACGGGTCTGTTTCATAGTCGAGTCACTGGAGAAATGAAGTGGCAATTGAAAGAAGGCATCCTGTTGACCTCAGCAAGTTTTGATTTAGGCTGCAAGTCCCGATGCATATGGAAAGAGAGAAGGAATGTAGTTGTACACATTCAGGAATCTGCATAAAGTGTGTTTCCAAAGTCTATCTAAAGACTAGACTATGTTTCAGTTTACAAACCAACTTCCCTCAGTGCTTTTATTCCTCTGTAGCAAATGGAGAGACTTTTACCAGCTCTAGCTGGGTTTTTGTTTTTTTGGTTTTTTTTTGTTCTGGGATTCCTCTTCCCCAACACTAGGTTCTGTCATCTCTATAAATAAAGGCAGAACACCTAAGGACAAACTTCTCCCCACATAACTTGTACTCAACTGTAGAAGCTATCTCACTTGAAAGATGGGTAGCAAGTATGATAGCACTTTGAAACAATCAGACAGCACACACAACTACAGGGGGTAGCTGTTCTTAGAAGACACAGAGGGAAAAGTGCATGAAGTAATGAAGAAATAACACTATGACAGCTTGTTTTATGATTGCTGATGAGTGTCAGCCCTATTCTAGCCCTAAACAGTTGGGCTATCTTTTCAAACATCTAGACTCCTCTGACTGCTTCCCACTGTCTTTCCTAGGTGCACTTGCATGGTCTTTCTTAGGTACCCCTGTGCTTTAGTGGGTCTCTTCCCCTTGAGCCATTAGTCCCAATGAACAATAACTCGAAATCCACTGAAAAATCTAGGAATAGCTTTTTTAGGTATGTTATAATAAGTGTTTAACCCAGTATCTAGAAACTATCCATATCTCAAAGTAAGTGGTGTGTTCCCATGGGAACCTAGGGAAATACTCATTTTAACTTATTAATGTGCACATCCCTGAGATACCAGACTTTAGAATTGTGCTAAAGAGAAAAATATAGAAAATATTCTGTGATCCTGGATCTTGATTACTGACAGCCAGGCCATCTTAACATTAAGGCCTATTTAGAGTGAGAGGAAAATTGTATATACAATGTTTCTGAGACTAGTAGAAAAGTTAGTACTGAGTGCCAAGGTGAAACAAACTGTAGTTAATAGGATTTTTGTGCTACTCTGGCCAGAATATACGTATGTCTCTGTCATTTACCATTGAAGATATATCCGTGAGACAGGCTGAAAGATTTGTATCATTTTAAAGAGCGTTGTGCATGAGGGGGAGGTCCTAGTGGAAAAACTTGTCCTGCTTTTTAAGCTGAATATTGTCTGTTTTGAATCTGGGTTTGTGATCTTTAGTCCATAGTCGTGTGCTGCCATAGTCTGGCCCTGACTCTGCCTCCAGTGCTGGTGTTGCTTCTGTGAGATTGACAAGACACTCATAATTTCTCTTCTCCTAATGTCTCTGCCTGGCTGGATCTCTTCCTTATTTGAATGGTTATTTTTATGTGCACTTCATAATATATATCTGCTGCCAGTGGGTTGAGCACTTTTAAAATGTGTGTTAAGCAAAATCAATAGGATTTTTTTTTTTTTTTTAATATTAATCAAGTTTGAGCTATTACTGAAGTATTCTTGGAGTGCCTTCATCAATAACTAAGCATTTAGCATCTTACCCTGTAGTTCTGTTTCTGGTTTATATGTTTATTAGAAGGTGCCAGGGGACAGGGTTTAGCGGTGGACATGGCAGACTTAGGGTAGTGGTTGGACTCAATGATCTTGTTGAAGGTCTTTTCCAACCAGAGTGATACTGTGAAATGAAGTCAAAATTTTAATAACTTCCCAAATTTTGGGATACCTTAGGATTTTATTTTTTGGTGTAGTAGATGGCAAAATTACTATTCTGGGCATGAATGGCTCTGGGACTTTAATGGCTTGGATCACTCTGTTTGCTTGGCAGAGTCAGTTGGCAACAGAATTAATTTTATTAAAAAGACCTTAGAGAGGCAAAGTGAGAGTGCACGTGTGTGTACATGAGAGTGTGACTACAATGTACACCCAGGATGAAGTCATAGAGACAGTGAATAGATTCAGCCAGCCTGGGCAAAATGACTGTCCCTATTAAAAAGCAGTCATTGTTCCTAATAGCCATGTGTTTAATTTGCTGCTTTGTGAGACCTGACTAAGTAAGTCACCAGTACTTTAAAACTATGTCAGACAAACAGGTTTATCATCTGGATGCTTATGTATCCACTCTGGGTGATGAGATGGCAAACCCTTTCTTAGTCTCTCTGAGATCAACTGCTGAGATCACATTGGTGTTAAACAAAGCAAGATGGTAAATGGGAGTGGATGATTTTAGTGTTTGGGACAAAAAAAAATGGACAATATTGCAAGAAGAAAACCATTTTATTTTTTTTTTTTCTCTTATTCTGTTTTTTGGAAAGTGTTGGAGACATTGCCATGGCTCAGAGAAAGTAGTAGCATGGCTACCTAAGAAAAAAACTAATGTTTGTGTTATGGATGTGAGTGTCTGGGACTTTAATCCTTTTCACTCCTCACCTCTAGCTCAAAGAAGCGGGGTTCAACCAAAGCAGCAGCCTGTCCCTGACTTGGTCACATTACTGTGCGTGTTGTGGATGTTGAAGCGATCGTGTGCTCAAACTCTGGGCTGTAGAAGGACTTGTGTGACTTGCCCCAGAAGTTAACAGTAACTGAGAATGAGTAGGATGAGAAATGTGGCAATGGAATTTGTAGAATAAAGACAAAATAACCTTTCTCTTACCAGATATATTCATCTTACAGCTCTGTGCCTGGCCTTTTCACTTTGCATCTCATTAACTTATCTACTGTTTGAGACAGTTAATCCGAAAACTCTCTCATC